CATTGTTGCAGCTCAACTTGCGACTCATTTACTGTCAATGCTATTAGATCTAGTATCACGTCCTTTGTTGTAAGTGATGTATCGGATGGTTAATGAATAGAGGTTGATTTTCTAATTTCAGACACGTCAAAGATCCCAGTGGAGAGCGACACCGATGATGACGGAGCACCACGTATCTCCCTGGTGGAGATGCTGGAGGAGCTCAGCCTAACAGATGCCACAGGAGAAGAGGGCGCTGACATGATGACAGACTAGGCGGTTGCCATCCTGCCTGTGTGACGCTGACAGCTGATCTGTCAAATACAACACTGAGCTGAGGCCTCCCATTTTGAACTGACAGCAGATTGAGGACGGATCTAACAAATAATGTTTTATACTAAACAAAATCCACAGCTCATCAGACTGTAGTGTAATGACTCATTACAGTTAAAACCCATAAACTGTGGGTTATAATGGTGCCACATAATAACAAACACGGTTCTGCTGAGAGTCTTTCAGTTGTTTAAACTGATCATTCACCTCGTTTTCATTTAGATTTTCAGCTATTTGTAAAATGCTCTTTTCCCCTTTTCATTTAAAATTTGAAGTGATGTGGAAACGGAGTGCTTCTAGTTCACTATATATCAAAATAAATATTTGTCCTAATGAACACTTTTCATTTATATTTTTCTGATATTAGCCGTGTCCCAAATCCATACATATTCATTTTATATTTATTATGTACTATGTACTAATTGTCATAGAAAACACATAAGCTATAATACTTATTTTTGTTTTGCGTGAATTATTTGGAGCCGTTTCACCACCATTAGTTTATTTAAAGGTTTTACCAGCTGTGAGCAGCTCTTCCTTTGTGCCCTGTGGGAGAATAGTGTGCATCAATAGCACTGTATTTAGTACTGTCTGTACTGTGTCACTTTTCTAGTGTGAACACAGTACATACTCAAAACCTGCTGAGAATCAGCATGTAGCACAAAATTGGGACATAGTCTACTTTCAAGTACTTTTATGTACAAATCCACCAGAGGGAGCTTTGGACCACTTAGAGAGGGGAAGTAATGCATTCAAATAACCTAACTAGCTGGGCCAAGCTGTCTGTGCTCTGATATGGGCTGAAGCTGGACATACAATTCAGTTGATCCTGAATAGCTTGTCAAATTAGGGGCTTTTGAATTAGTAATGTTATTCATTCATGGTAATAAGTAAAGCAATAATTATCTAAAAACTTTCAAATGTTATATAGATACACTGGTAGTAGTATAGCTTGTAATCTTAACACTTCATATTTTGTGCTCATGAAAGGATTAAAACAAAACAACATATTGAAAGCACAACATAAAATTCTGCGTATTAGAAAAAGAAAACATTGATCAATGATCAATTGATTTTTCTTTCTTTCTGTGTATCTTTGTTCTAGCAGGAGGGTGCTGCATCTGCATCTGTTTAAACCAGAGAGGGGAATGTGCCTTTGGTGGTACCTGTAAAAGGTGGAGGGGACATGGGTGCCTCAGTTTGCCTTTAAAAACTATTATTTAAGAGTTCTTAAAAATGGCTCCAAACATCTGCATTTATCATGATCCCTGATGATTTTGGGGGTTCATCAGAGTTGTTCTTTTGTCAACCAGGTGTGTTGCATGGCTGTGCAGACCTACTAATATGAAGCTTTACGTAATCTAAGACACCAGAGGAATGTGTCTGTTGCAGCGTATTAGTCTGTGTGACATGTCTCACATTCTA